CTTATAGTAGACAGCCTGTATATATATATATATATATATATATACAGGGTGTCCCGTTCATGTTTCAAAAAAACTTGTGCCGTTTTATGTGAGCAAAAAAATGCAACTTCATTTTCCTCGAAAATGGTACATGCTACCGAATTTCGACAAGTATACCTTTTTTGTAGTATGCTTTATAGTTTACAGAGCCATTTAGAAATGTAACAAATTTTGACTTTTAACATATTTTTTTCAATTGTACCCCTGCAATTACCTGTATCGGCGACATTGCTTTTCAGAAAGAAACCGTTTGTACATTATTCTTAAGGTACGGTTGATGTTTACTCGTGTACAAATTTTGACATTTTTATATTTAGCCGATTTAAAGATAATTAAGAAAAATCATTTGGAAAGTAACAACTTCAACACACTGCATCTCGAAAACAGGGCGTCTAAGAAAATAACTTTATACGAACTACCCCTATTATTTTCTCGCACACAAGTTTTTTTGAAACATTAAGGGGACACCCTGTATATTAGGGTACTTTGTTTGAAATGTACATTATTTTTTTCGTTTTATCGGCGAAATATTGTTTTGATCATTGGAAAAAAAAATTTTCACCAAATTTCAGCTCTTAAATTTAATTTTTAGTACTCGCTATTTTAGTTAAAATTTTCCTATTCATTTAACACATAAACCTACCGTTTTTTTTTAAATTATCCATATCTCAGCTGCATTTTACGTTACTTTATTGTCCATAGCCGATAATTATACAGAAATCTTTGTTCTTTGAAAGTGTCCATAACAGGACTAGGTGTCTTGTATGGTGTCACTGCCAAAGAATTGTTTTTATTTTATCGTTCTTTGCATTTTTCTTATAAATGACTAGACCTACAGCAAAATCGATGACATTTTTATAGAAAATTAAATTTAGTATAAAAAAAGTCCTCAGTAAAGCTGTACAGTTATTATTTCATGAAATAAATAGATTCAAATGTGAAAAAATCTTAAAAACTTTTATCTTGATAGAATAATTGAAATTGCAGATAGAACTATAGAATAGGAAAATTTTAAAATTAAATAGCGAGTACTAAAAATTAAAATTAAGAACTGAAATTTGATAAAATTATATTTCCAATTTTTAGAACAGTATTTCCTCAATGGAGCAAAAAAAAAGAAATGTACGTTTCAAACGAAGCACTCTAATGAATATATCTCAATTCGCACACCTCAACACATTAGAGCGACTTAACAATAATTGATATTTTCTGCCAAAGCGATTTTCTTTCTCTTTGGTTAAAGTTACATATATTTCAGAAATTTGATAGCGAAGGCAAAGAGGTTATATGTAACGTTTGCAGAAGAAAGTTAAACGCAGCATTCGAATTTAAGGCAATTTGTCTGAAGACCGATTTCACAATTATTCCATATGTGGATTGTGAAAAAATGTTACAGCTCGATATAAGAGATGTGTATACGAAGGAAAAGACAAGCGAGTCAATGGATATTTCAGATGGTCAGAAAATATGTCGATTGTGTATGGAGCCAGTAGAAAGTGAGTTTAGGTGCATTTGTCAAGAGGAGCTTGAAGTTATCGAGAAATTGGCTCCTGAAATGGTATCAATGATATTAAATAGTTACATTTTTCACAATACAACAAAACTACTTTGCAGAATATAAATATCATCAAAGATCCCGTTGTATGTAAGGAATGCTTTGATTCTGTGTGCACCCACAACAGTTTCCTAAAAAATTGCTGGGAAGTACAGGAAAAATTTGGAGGTATTTTTAATAGCGCAGCAACAGAGAGTCAGATGGATACGTCATCATCTGATTTATTCGTTAAGACTGAAAACGAGGACAAAGAATTCGATATTAACCAGATGGAAATGTCGATCAAAGCTGAAAGTATCGACATAAAATCGGAAGATGAGGAAGGGAGGTAAGAGAAGACTATTTTAACAGTAATTTAAAAGGTAACCGTATAACTCTAGATCTTATTTAATTTTGCATTTCTTGCATACATTTTTTGTATAATTAATTTTATCATATTTTCAAGAAAAATATGACCAAATTGTAATAAAAAATTATTTGGTTCATATGATAATAAAATTGTAATAATGCCCTGTGGAGTGTAAAAACATATAACTACATTTGGAATAACCTATAACCCCTTATAGCCCGAGAGCCAGCAACCGTTTTGAGGTAGTCATTTGGCAAAAGCTGAAAATTTTTCCTACGCTTCATTTGGTATCACTAGTAAGTAAATCGACCTCCAGCTCGCGCACTTCTGGGGGGTTTAGCTGCGGCAGCCTCTCAAACACGTAAAATAATAAAATAAAAAAACTAATACCGCAAAAGCTGAGACTTTGTTGACAAGTTAATTAAGTTATAAACAAAAGAAAAAACGCAATCCGCTGACCTAAACAAGTCAAAAATATGCGCTAGGTAAACTGATACCGCAAAAGCTGAAATTTGGTAAAGTAATAGTCAACTTAACCAGTTATACGAAAAAAATGGTCCGCTGAAGTTTTTGTGGTGTATAAGTGCTCAGCTGACGAGTTGAAGGCGCAGCACATCGCTATAAGCGCGGGCGCGTTGAATCTTTAACTTTATCAGCTGAGCACTATTCCCTCACTAAAAATAAAGCTGAGTATTTTTTTCATTTAACTTATTAAATTAGCTATTGTATTAACAAATTTCAGCTTTTGCGGTATGAGATATCTATAATTTTTCCATTTTTTAAGTCTTAGTAGTAATTATATAAAAATATTCAACTTTTTTTCGAATATTTATTTACAGTAAACGTTATGTATGAAAAAATTTAATCTATTTCATCTTCCGATTCATCACCCTCAAACTCATTGTCGCTGGAGTCAATGTCGATTCCTGCCATTTCTTCCTCATCATCTGTAATTATATAATAATAATGTTAATAATAACAACCACGGTAGCGAAGTCGGTCAAGCATGCCGTGGCAGGCATTTCTCGGCCAGACTTCCTATTCTGGTCCGGGTTCGATCCCTGGTGTCGGCACTGGCAATGTCGATGGATAAAGGGTGTTTGTCCGCGTTTTTTCAAGTGTAACCCCCTTCCGCACAGCCTCTGGCTTTGGATTTGGGGGTTGTCTCATTTCTGTGGTGTATTTTATGTTATATTATTAAAAAAACGTTAATTATAAAAAATAATTTTTAAATTGTATTTTACATATATGTAAATTAAATAATCAAAAATTTACACTTAAATAATTAAATTTCATTATAGAGCGAACTATATTAGTATATTCTAACCTCTACTATTTCTTTGTTCATCCTCGATAATTATATCTCCAAGGGAAGAGGACAGCTGTTCACCCTCGAACCATTTAAAAATAAATTTGTTCCCATTCTCTTCCCAGCCGATATCAGTCGGATATAATTCTGTTGGGACCTGAAGATGAGCGTGTGCCCAAATATTTGCAATATACATTGTCCGCAGCAAATGTTGGTGCAGTTCAATTTTGCGAGGCGGTAGAGCTGATCCGTCGATATTATTTTTTGGCAAATGGAATATGTCATCGTTTCTTAAAATATTATATGTCTTCAAAAATGTTGCAACTCGAGCCTCGTTGACTTTGTTAATTTTTTTAAATCCATACATTCGACAAACATATTCTTCTATACTATCAAATGTATTCTGCATCCCTCCATCAGGTACGTTGCTTAATTTAATAAAACTATCGATGAAAACTTCAGACTTGCGTAAAAGCTTATAGGGCCGAGTTTTTCCTTTTTTGAAAAATGATGGTTGTATTCGCAACCTGTGAGGACATGAAAAGCTGGCAGTGCTGCGCTTAATTTAGGGCCTAGTGTTTTATATAGATGACTTATGTTAATAAAACGCTGATTATTACCGACTCCGGCTTCCATAGAAACTTTAACATTAGGATTACTTATGGCACTCATGTTAGCCAGATTGGAGTAGGAGAGGGGACGTATTGGATGCGGGGACCCATGACGTTCAGGTGAGGAAAAAGGAATCTTTCAATCTATGAACCGAATATCCAGTTTTGTACTCATGCGATTGTAATTTCCGAAGTGGTTATCTAACTTTATATATATGTACATTACATACATATATTTACTGTTTATAATTTTGTTATGCAAACATAAGTATTTAAATGTGAATATTTATTAAAATTATTTGAATTGAAAAACTCGTGAGATCATTTATTGTAAATAAATATTCGAAAAAAGTTGTATATTTTTATATAATTACTACTAACACTTAAAAAATAGAAAAATTATAGATATCTCATACCGCAAAAGCTGAAATTTGTTAATACAATAGCTAATTTAATAAGTTAAATGAAAAAAATACTCAGCTTTATATATAGTGAGGGAAAAGTGCTCAGCTGATAATGTTAATGATGCAACGCGNCCTTCAACTCGTCAGCTGAGCACTTATACACCACAAAAACTTCAGCGGACCATTTTTTTCGTATAACTGGTTAAGTTGACTATTACTTTACCAAATTTCAACTTTTGCGGTATCAGTTTACCTAGCGCATATTTTTGACTTGTTCAGGTGAAAAGCTGAGGCATAACCCCCCACTCTAAAGTCAGCGGATTGCGTTTTTTCTTTTGTTTATAACATAATTAACATGTCGACAAAGTCTCAGCTTTTGCGGTATTAGTTTTTTTATTTTATTATTTTACGTGTTTGGGAGGCTGCCGCAACTATACCCCCCGGAAGTGCGCGAGCTGGAAGTCGTTTCTCTTACTAGCGACACCAAATGAAGCATAGGAAAACTTTTCAGCTTTTGCTCTTTTGGTCATCAAAAAAGGTCGCTGGCTCTCGGGCTATTAGAATTAACACCTCACTTTGGAAAATACCCTGTATATGTAATTTTTTCAGTGACTCGCTACTGCAGAGCTCCGATAGTGAATCATTCGAGAAGAGTGTCCTTAGAGATGAGGAAGAGGATGGATGTAAACATGAGAATAGAGCGACAAACGAATGTAATACCAAAGTCAACCAGGACGACAAAGTATTTTACAAATGTGATAAAAGTATTTACGATCCTTTGCAGGTTCAAACGTACAAGTGTAACGACTGCAATTACAAAAGTATATACAAGAGTAATATAAAACGACACCAACTGAAACATAAAGATCCTTCTCGGGTTCAAATGTACAAGTGTAACGACTGCGATTACAAAACTAAACACAAGAGTGATATGAAAAAACACCAACTGAAACATAAAGATCTTTCACAGGTTCAAATGTACAAGTGTAACGACTGCGATTACGAAACTAAATACAAAGGTAATATCAAAAATCACCAACTGAAACATAAAGAGCCTTGGCAGGTTCATGTGTACTGGTGTAATGACTGCGAATACAAAACTAAATACAAGAATGCTTTCAAACTGCATCAACTGCAGCATAGAGATCCTTCTCAGGTCAAAATGTACAGGTGTAACCACTGCGATTACAAAACTAATTCCAAGGATAATATGGAACTTCACGAACTGAAACATAAAGATCCTTCGCAGGTCCAGATGTACAGGTGTAACGACTGCGATTACGAAACTAAATACAAAATGAAATGAAAAAACACCAACTGAAACACAGAGATCCTTTGCAGGTTCAAACGTACACGTGTAATGAGTGTGATTACAAAACTATATACAAGAGATATATTAAACAGCATCAACTGAAACATAAAGATCCTTCGCAGGCTCAAATGTACAAGTGTAACGACTGCGATTACAAAACTAAATACAAGGGTGATATGAAAATCCACCAACTGAAACATAAATATCTTTCACAGGTTCAAAAGTACAGGTGCAATGACTGTGATTTTGAAACTAAATACAGGAGTTATATCAAACAGCATCAACTGCAGCATAAAGATCCCTCACAGGTTCAAATGTACAAGTGTAACGACTGCGATTACAAAACAATAAACAAGAAATGTCTCAAAAAGCATCAGCTGAAGCATAAAGATCCTTCTCAGGTTCAAATGTACAAGTGTAGCTACTGTAATTATGAATGTATATACAACAGTTCTATCAAACTGCATGAACTGAAACATAAAGATCCTTCACAGGTTCAAATGTACAAGTGTAACGACTGCGATTACGAAACTAAATACAAAAATAATATTAAAAACCACCAACTGAAACACAAAGATCCGTCGCAGGTTCAAACGTACAAGTGTAATGACTGCGATTACAAAACTATATCCAAGAGATATTTTACAAAGCACCAACTGAAACATAAAGATCTTTCACAGGTTCAAAAGTACAGGTGTAATGTGTGCGATTTCGAAACTAAATATAAGAGTTATATCAAACGGCATCAACTGGCACATAGAGAAGGTGTACCGACTGCGATTATGAATCCAATTGCAGGAGTGGTATAAAATATTACATGTTGGAACATGGACAGCCTTCACGGGTGTATGAGCATGCAAAGGCATGTCGCAGATTCAAATGCAGTACGGCCCATTGAAGTGCAAAATCCAGTAAAAAATTTAGGCATTTAAGAGACCAACCATAAATATGTGAATATAAAGTAGAATGTAAAGTCTGCCGTGAAAAACATCGGTTCAAACAGAAACTCTCACTGAAACAGGAAGAGACAAGTGATTTTGGACTAATGCTGTTGTAACCAACGAATTCTAACCCCCTATAAGGAGCTTTATGAAAATAATACCTTACATTCAGTTGTAGCCAGCATCTAGATAAAGAACTACTAATTGGATAGAGACAGTATATTTACGTATACCCAAAGAGACACAACGGCAGTGGCGTAGGGGATATATTTTGACGCGGATAAAAAATTATTTATTCATTTATTTATTCACCCAACTGCACCCAAGTAACATGTACAAGGCCCAATTGCAGGTTACAATAAAAGTACATTACACACACCTAAATACCTAAAGTGAGCTACAAACACATTGTGATAAAGCAGTATTAAAAAATATTTATCACTAGGAAAACGAGTGGTATTGTATAACATTGTCAACCATTACAAAGCAGTATTTAAAATCCTTATCTTAACCTAACAATATATTCTTAATTAATAATAAAACATATATTTGTTGCCTAAGAAAAGAAAAAAAAAAAGAATTCGTTGATCTGTACCACTTAGAAATTGTTTTTGTATGTGACAAAGCCATGTTAAAACTTCTTCTTGCATAATTATAAGCATCTGTTGAATAAAAGCTTAACGTTAAGGCAAACGACCTAAGCTCAGATGAACACGTTTTACGAGATTGTCATTTTCTTGATCTTTGACAGATTTCACCTAATATTCCATATTCCTAAAATTACATATTGTTTACAGACACAGAAAGAATAAGTATTTTTCAACTTACATGAATGATACACTGAGCAGTTTCTGTTAAGTCATATTTCTTTTTCAAAAATTTCAGAAGAGAATTAAGGCTACAAATTCTGGCTTTTAGGCGACTCTTTGCTGCCTGCTGCAGACTTCGGATTTTGTTTGCATTTTAATTTTTTTCTTACAAATACTCCAATTTTTTCTTGCTCCTTTTGGACTATCCATGTCAGAAGTATGGCATTCTCCAAAATATTGTGGATAAGGTCTTTTCCTAAAAATGATGAATTATCTATTCCAGATGTATTTTACTATTCCAGATGTATTTTATACAGGGTGGTCCCGAGGTAATGGGTCAAAATTCATGGGTAGATTCCCCAAGTAAAAATATTGCGATTTAGCCGAACTTACCTTAGTCCAAAAGTTGATAGTTAAAGAGATACAGGGTGTTAAATGTAAAATATTATTTCAGTTTTTTTTTAAATTTATTCCTTAACAAATCCTCACAAAATTTTGGGGATTGGAGTTCTTTGAGTTGAGTAATTGAAATCTGGTCACATTTTGGTTAAAGTTCATAGAGGGCGCTAGCTGCAGTAGATTGAATGTGTTAAAAATGACATAACTTTTTTGTACTTGTAGCTATCTCGCACCATTTTCGAGATATTTGGCTTTGAAACTTCCAATGCTGTTGCATTAAATTACAATTAAGTACCTACAGGATTATTAATTTAGTGGTAAAGTTTCTTAAGTAGGATTTGGACGAAAATCAAATAATTGACGTTTTCCATTTGTCTTACTTATTGCTGTCATGTGTATGCTAATTTCTATTAAGTATTATTCGTACTTAATTAAAATTACATCTTAGCTCCCAATTTAAATTATTTACTAGCATACATAAATGTGGAATAGAATGCCGAGATTTTCGTTTTTTGAGTTACATGAAATCAAAAACTATAAACACTTGAGAAGAACTTTAGTAGCAGGTTTTAAATGCTGCAAAGTCATTTCGCGTTAAGGATTTTTATACAAATAAGACAATATTTTAATAAGCGCGTTGATAAATGTATTGAAGTTAGAGGTGGACATTTTGAACAATTATTGTCAAAAAGGCATATTTTTTACTAATGTTTGCTATTTTACTGTTCATTACAATTTTTAATTCTAAATAAACCCTTGTTTTTGACATTTCTAAATTATTTTAATTATTTCAACTATTAGCATTGGAAGTTGCAAAGCCAAATATCTCGGAAACGGTGCGAGACAGCTACTTTCATAAAGTTTATCTTTTTTTGTGTAAAAAAAGTTGGAAAATAAGGATTTGATACCAAAGATGAGACCTTAAGGTAAAACAAAGTTATGTCATTTTCAACACATTCAATCTATGGCAGCTGCAATAATATGCAATGACTGCAATAATATAAACAAAATTATACTTACTTCAATAGCTTCTATACAACTCAAAAATCTCTTACCTCATATTGGCACTAGATGCGTATTCAAAAAAATAACATGCATTATAAAAAACTTTTGTTCAAACAATATTTTATACAAAACTAAACTTTTTTACACAAAGGAAAACCAAGAAGTACACTCTGCTAATAATGAACTGATATATGTTGTATACTGTCTGGACATAAGATTCTGTAGGTAGGAAAGCATAGAAGTTTACGGATGATCTCAAAAAAAAAATAAAATAAAACGGTGCGTTTACGCACCTTTGGCCGCTAATGGGTTAATCTGTTTAAAGGAGCCCTTTACACATATGACTAAATAAATAAGACTCGTGAAAAGGATAGGAAGAGCAGAATCATGAAAGCACGAGCGCCACAATGGGTCTGGAAAACACGCCATCGTTAGCACTATTTATGTATCGAAAACTGTAATACTAACTTGAGCAGAAAAGTAATGTTGGTATTAGAACCTATAGAGTTCGCTGGAAAAATTAAAAATTTGATATTATATGTATTCTTTCGTGCAGTAGCCGAACAAACTTATTGCAATCGGCAACTAGCCAATCATAATACAGCATTTTTAAAATTCTTAATCATGATTGGTTCTTTACTGTTGATTTCAATCACTTTGTTCAATACGAAAGAATACGTGTATTGAAAATTAGGTCACAAAGGGGATGTGTTCTGTGGATTAGGTTTGAGGTTATTTCTTCTCTATGTTGTATTCACAGATTAGAAAGTGGTTGTATTATGACTAATTAACTCGTAAGTTACCGTGCTTTTGATAATAATTGTTTTCTATTTTAGACTAAAATTTAATGTAACGCAAGAAGATAATTATAATTGTTGAATCGTTCATCTGAATTGTCTTACTGCTTTTGCTTGTTTTACTTTTTAATAGAAAATGTCTGGAATGATCTCACGTTACTGTTGTGCACCAAACTGCAAGAATACATATTATTTATATACCACAGATACTTCTTACAGAAATAAAAGCTTTTTCAGAGTTACTGCAGAGTGCAGACAGGAAAATGATTTGGATAGAATGTAAACCAGATTTTAACTTCATCAACGAAAAATGTTATTTTTGCGAAGACCACTTTGAATTAAAATGTTTTAGAAATAGTAGGAAGAATAGCCTCAACAAAAATGCAGTGCCAACAATATTTTGTGAATCAAATAGTATATCATCACATTTAGATTCTCTTAATAGTAACATTTACTTGAAAACTACTCTAGAGTCAGTTAAACAGTTTGTTAGTGAAACATTAGAAAATGCCGAAATTAATAAATGCCAAACATCAATGTTAGATGATTTTTCAGAACCACCATTTAAAAAACCAAAATACACTTATTCCAAATTGCCATCTCTAAATACCACTGCAAGTACTAGTACTGTTATTGTTGACGACGCCATGCCGGATGAAGTAGATTCAAATACTGGTGTAAGTACTTCACATAATACTTCATTTTGTCAAAACTTCACTTGTAAGTCGAATAGTAGACAACAAAAAACGCTTTTAAAATCTCTCAATGTAAAAAGCGTCTCAACTTTCAGATAAAAATAAAAAGTTTTATTATTTAGACCGTAAACAAAAAAATTTTAAAATTAAAAACAAAATTATAAAGTGTAGAAATAATTTGTCCAATGTTTGTAATATCACTTATTCAAGGTTATTCACAGATTTATCTCAACGTCTCGATCCTATTGGAGTAAAATTTATTGAATCACAAATTACTAATTGCAAAAAGAAACATCCTATATATAACTCAGAAAATAAAGCACTTGCTTCAGCTATTTATAAACGGGGCCGTACGTGTTATCGATT